TGACTAGATGAGCTCCAGAGAGCCCATCCCACCCCCACCGCTCATTCAGGGATTTACGGCGGGGGGAAAACCCTCGAGCAGGTCCGGGCCGTCCGCTGGACCCGAGTTTGGCTTTAGAGGCAAAACCAGGGCGTCCTTTTCGGCCGCGAGAGAGCACGGGGACGGCCCGCAGCCCTCCCAGTCCCCTGCAGCGAGCGCCGCTCTCCTCTCCTCCTCCCCTCCAGGTACTACTTTCGGAATTGGCACGGGATGAACGACAAGGAACCGGCGGTTTATCGCAACGTGCCCCGACAGAGCGACTCCCCCGACGAGAAGCTGCCGGGAGGAGCCTTGCTCGACAAATCGTCCTTCGAGTACCTGTTTGAGCAGGTAACGATCCGGGGTGGGGGGCCGGAGGCTCGGTTGCCCCCGGGGTGGTGGAAACTTGGGGGGATGTTTCTCGATCCAGCCGGATTTGGCTCAGCGCTGGGGTCAGGATCTGGTTTTCCAGCGGCGAGGGTTTTGTTTCGAGGACAAACACAGCTGTAGTTTCGCCCTCGGAAAGCTTTTGTCTTGCTTGAAGCCTCCCTGGGAGGCCGGGAGCCGAGCTGGGGGGGAAAAATCCCATTACACCTTCAAAATGAAAAAAAAAAAAGAGAAGAAAAAGCACTCCAGAATTCAGAGCAGGGTTTGTTTGTTTGTTTGTTTGTTTTCCCCCCCTCTTTATCTAACTTTAATAGGGAAAATTTGAATTCATCAACGACGTCGCGTCTTTGAAAGACCTCCAGACTGAACAGGAGATCCAGAGGTTCAAGAACGAAAGCTTGGGCATGGCCGTGCTTCACCTCTCTCACATCGCCATCAAAAAAGGCGTCTCCCTGGAGGAAGTGGCCCGAAAATACAGGTGACCGCTTGGCCGTGCAGCCTCGGGCCCGGGGCCTTTCTGCCCTGCGATTGTCTGAAGTGTTTCTTCTGGTTTCTCACCCTCTTTCCTCTCCGTCCTCCTCACCGGCAGCGGTTTAGGTGATGGAGAGATCGGCTGCGGCTCCTCCATCAGCGCGTTTTGCCGCAGGCGCCCCTGAGGTCTTGCTGTGACCGCTTGTTCCTTCCCTCCGCAGCTTCAAGGACTGTATCCCACGTTCCTTCTACCGCCAGATGCAGCAGAACAACTACCTGACCAAATTCCGCATGAAAAACGTCTTCAAGAAGTTTGTCCAGCGTTTCCAGCGGCACACGGTCAGCACCGGCAAGCTGACGGTGCAGGACGTCATGTACAAATACCTGGCGACCTTGGAGCACCTCGCCCCTCGTTTCGGCAGCGAGGTTTTCCCCGTGCTCTCCTTGGAAACCTCCTCCGAGGGAGAGAAGGCGCAGCTCTACCTCAACGGAGGACATTCGCAGCTGGAGCATGGCCACGCGCTGCTCCCCAAGGACCGACCTGTCACCCACGAAGTCCTCGTCACCGGCACCAGCGGGATCCAGTGGCGGCCCGTGCCCGTAGAGGTAAATCGCTGCTCGCGCTCCCCGCCGCCGAGCGGGAAGAGCCGTTCCCATCCCAATCCCATCCCACGGCATCTCCTTTTCCTTAGCTCGTGTTCTTGGGCTTCTCCTCGGGCTCTCTCTGGGCACCCCAAGTTCCTTTCCGGCTTATCCCAGTTTGCCCAGTAGCCACCGCGACCTAGCGGTGCCGTTTTAACAGCGGTAGGAAGGGCCGGAACCGATGCCTTTGCCTCTCCTCTTCTGCAGAACGTCGAGAACTTCTCCCATCGTGGATATTTTGGGAGAAAGAGCAGAAACAAAGAGCTGGAGCCCAAAGGGCCGACTCAGCCGGTGGAGCGGAACGAGGCCAAATGGGCCCATTTCTGCGATTTCCGGGAGATCACGCACATTGTCATCAAGGACTGTAGGGTCAGCATCAACCGGCAGGACAACAAGTGCCTGGTGAGTGGGGTTTCTTCTCTCCCGACCTTCTCCATGCGCGTGGGGACCCCTCTTGGCGTTTCGGAGACCGGGAGGAGGCAGCGCTGGGAAGAAGAACTGGGTCCAGTCCTGTTCAATGATCAATGATCTGGATGAAGGGATGGAGTGTACCGTCAGCGAGTTTGCTGATGATGCAGAACTGGGAGGGGTGGCTGACACGCCGGAAGGCTGTGCCGCTGTACAGAGTGACCGGGACGGGCCGGAGAGTTGGGGGGAGAGGAACCTGATGGAATTCAAGAAGGGCGAGTGTGGGGTGCTGCGTCCGGGGAGGGATAACCCCCTGGTGGGTACGGGTCAGGGGTGACCTGCTGGAGAGCAGCTCTGGGGAAAGGGACCCGGGAGTCCCGGTGGCCAACGGGACGGCCACGAGGCAGCAAGGGGCCCTGGTGGCCGAGGCGGCCGAGGGCATCCCGGGGGGCATCAAGAAGAGCGTGGCCAGCAGGGGGAGGGAGGCACTCACACAACTCTGGTATGCTCTGGTCTGCCCCGGGGAGGCCACATCTGGAGCGCCGTGGCCAGTTCGGGGCTCCCCGCGTCCAGAAGGAGCGGGAACTGCTGGAGAGGGTCCAGCAAAGGGCTGCGGAGACGATGAGGGCACCGGAGCGTCTTTCTCCGGAGGAGAGGCTGAGGGACTCGGGGCTGTTGAGGCTGGAGAAGAGCAGCCGGAGGGGGATCTTCTCAGTCCTGAAGGGAGGGTGCCGGGGGATGGGAAGGGTCTGTTTCCAGCGGTGCCCAGTGAGGGGACGAGAGGGAACGGGCACAACCCTGAGCGGAGGGAGTTCCACCTCACCCTGAGGAGGGCCTTCTCTGCTGTGAGGGCGGCAGAGCAGTGGCACGGGCTGCCCAGAGAGGTGGGGGAGTCTCCCCCTCTGGAGCCATCCCAAACCCGCCCGGACGCCGTCCTGTGCCACTGCGGGAGGTGCCCCTGCTCTGCCGGGGGGGTTGACTAGATGAGCTCCAGAGGGACCTTCCAACCCTCACCAGTCTGGGATTCTGTGAAGAAGGATTTTTTTCCGGGGTTAACGGCAGCTGAGGGAGAGTTTTAACGCTCTCCTCCTCGGGCTGGCGGGGGGATAGATGGATTGAGGGCTGCTCTCCCTCTCTCTGGCCGGTTTCTCAAGCTGGTTTCCCTCCCTCTTCCCAGGAGGTGGTTCTCCCGTCCCCCGAGAGCGCGCTCTCCTTGGTCTCGCTGGTGGACGGTTATTTCCGACTCACGGCTGATTCCAGCCACTACCTGTGTCACGAAGTGGCGCCGCCGCGACTCGTGATGAGCATCTTGAATGGCATCCACGGGCCCATGCAGTGAGTGGGGGGGGGGGGGCGGCGGAGGCGTTACGTACGGTTTGAGGAACCCCCGACGATTTATCGTCCTTAAGACAATCTCTCACCCGATGACCCTTCCCCAATCTGGCAAGGAGACGCGGGAGGGAAAAAACCAAGGAAACCCAAGGGTTGACATATAAACAGATATAATAGGATAAGACTAAATAATTAACGTTAATAACAGTAAAAACTCATTATTGATCTCGATACCTATATAAAATGTACGAGGATTACATATATCCATAGAAGCTGTGGGCGAACGTGGGACCCTGCGAGCGCTGCGGCTTCGGGAGGAAGGGAAGGGCTCAGGGCTGCGGCACCGGAGGCGAGGAGTTCTCGGGGTCGCAGCCCTCGAGGGAGAGAGAGAGAAACTCCTCGGCGAACTTCCTAATTGATACGGAATGTGCCGTTTTTGGAGTGAAATAACCCCGTTGGCAGTTTGGGTGAAGCTCCCGGGTCGGGCTCCTCCTCGGCCCCGCGCCCGGCGAGCGCGGAAACACCGAGACGGGGGGAAAACGGCGCCCAAAGGTGGTCCTAAAGTCAGTATTTTCACCAATTCAGACACCGGAGTCTTCTAAAAACACGGTTTTCCCAAGCGTTAGAAGAGAAATTAGTCCTCAAAGCAGGACAGGAGGAGGACGTGCCGTGTCCTCGGGGCTTATCCGAAGCCGTTCCCCTTTCTCCTGCGGCCAGGGAGGAGTTTGTTTTCGCCAAGCTGCGCCGGGAGGAGCAGGAGGAAGGGCTCTACATCATCCGCTGGAGCGTCCTTGACTTCAACAGGATGATTCTCTCCGTGGTGAAAAGGGGCCAGCAGCAGGTAAGATACAAATTCCCGGCGCAGCGTTCCCGGGATACGGTGAGCTCCGGGAGGTGCTGGTGTGCTTAGAAACGAGCTGGGCTGAGCTGTTGGCTTTTTTTGGGGAGGGACGGGGAACCGCGACGCCCTTCCTGACTCTCTCTTTTTTTTCCCAGGCTCCTGGGGCGCAGGGAGCCCTCAAGTACCGGCAATTCCGCATCCAGAAAAAAGGAAACTCCTTTGTGCTGGAAGGGTGGGACCGAGAATTTTCTACTTTGCGGGAACTCTTGGACGTACTCAAGGGCTGCACGCTCAAGTCCGGCGACGAAAGCTTCACGGTGAAGAGATGCTGTCCGCCCAAACCAGGAGGTACGAGGATGGATGATCTTTTTTTTTGCCCCGGGGGGAGTCGAGGAACGAGGGCGTGCGGTAGTTTCTGGGGCTTTAGCCTACGTCTGTTCCCTCCTCTCGCAGAGATCTCGGACCTGTTGATCACGCGGAAGGTGAAGGACAGCGCGAAGCAGATCCTTAACCTGACCCAGCTCAGCTTCCACCAAATCCGCAAGACCGAGATCACTCAGGTTGTGTGTTCTCCCTTCCCGGGCAGCGGGTGGAGGAATCTGCTCTCCTGCCAGGGGGAGATGCTACCGCGCTCCCAACGCCGCTGGTGCAGAGAGGAGAGAGACGCAGAGCGGTTTTGGGGTTTAGTTTAGCGCTTTATTCCCTCCTTCTTCAAAGAGAGGGGGGGAAAAGAGCGGTGCGGAGACAGCGGGGTGCGGGCAGGAGGCAGTTCCTTCCCTGCCGCCCACAGCGGCCTGTGGAGGTGACGCAGGGAAGAGGGGAGAGTCGGGTGGTGCGTGCGAGGCTGAAAATTCCCCTTCTCACACACGTGCACGCTCTGCCCTGGGGCTCTGACCCCCTCCTGCCTTCTCTTGTCTGCCTGCAGCGAGCCCACCTGGGGCAGGGCACCCGCACCAACATCTACGACGGGGTGCTGAACGTCTGCGGGACCGGCGGGGCCGACGACGAAGCCGAATATTTCTCCACCGAGCAGAATAACAACAGCCGGGAGATGCACGTGGTCCTCAAAGTCCTGGACCCCAGCCACAGAGACATCGCCCTGGTGAGCTTGAGTTCGAGAAGGGCGAGTGTGGGGTGCTGCGTCCGGGGAGGGATAACCCCCTGGTGGGTACGGGTCAGGGGTGACCTGCTGGAGAGCAGCTCTGGGGAAAGGGACCCGGGAGTCCCGGTGGCCAACGGGACGGCCACGAGGCAGCAAGGGGCCCTGGTGGCCGAGGCGGCCGAGGGCATCCCAGGGGGCATCAAGAAGAGCGTGGCCAGCAGGGGGAGGGAGGTCATCCTCCCCCTCTGCTCTGCTCTGCCCCGGGGAGGCCACATCTGGAGCGCCGTGGCCAGTTCGGGGCTCCCCGCGTCCAGAAGGAGCGGGAACTGCTGGAGAGGGTCCAGCAAAGGGCTGCGGAGACGATGAGGGCACCGGAGCGTCTTTCTCCGGAGGAGAGGCTGAGGGACTCGGGGCTGTTGAGGCTGGAGAAGAGCAGCCGGAGGGGGATCTTCTCAGTCCTGAAGGGAGGGTGCCGGGGGATGGGAAGGGTCTGTTTCCAGCGGTGCCCAGTGAGGGGACGAGAGGGAACGGGCACAACCCTGAGCGGAGGGAGTTCCACCTCACCCTGAGGAGGGCCTTCTCTGCTGTGAGGGCGGCAGAGCAGTGGCACGGGCTGCCCAGAGAGGTGGGGGAGTCTCCCCCTCTGGAGCCATCCCAAACCCGCCCGGACGCCGTCCTGTGCCACTGCTGGAGGTGCCCCTGCTCTGGCCGGGGGGGGACTGGGGGAGCTCCAGGGGGCCCTTCCAGTCCTG